TTTTGGAAAATATATATATTTTTTTTTTTGCTTTTTAGTTCACCAAAACTGAGTTCCAAGCATCGAATTTTGAGGGTGATATCCAGGCATCGTTTTCGATTGTGTTGAATAATAAAAAGTAAGATTTTGACCGTTCAGTGCCCCTTTAAGAAACGCAGGGCATGGCAAGTCCCAGGATCTTGTCACTGGTCCGCAGCCAGTAAAATTGCGGCATTTGACGATAAGAAGATTGAAGCAGAAATCACGAAGCAGAAATCGTAAACATATAAGAGTACACCCTGCTTTTCTTGAGTTGTGACTGACTGTGGATTGTAAGTATTCCTCAGGTAACATTCTTTCGACATTTTTACGTTGTGATAATCGTATTTGAGTATAAATACTTCGTCGTAGTATAAAGCCGGCTTTCTTGACGCACTGGCTGAGTTTGCGTGTGTGTGTTAAGGGGTTCTAAGCTACTAAGAGGGTCAAAGTTGGAGCAATGGTCTCGGACAGCGGCGCCAACTGCGATTGGTCAGCGGTGCGGCGCTAACCAATCACCGATGGCACCGCTGTCAGAGACTATTTAAGACTCAGACAAAGTGGTCGGCACCTAGAAGGAAAACGTTGTACTTCCTAGAGCAGGTCCTTTTGTGATATATGTTCGTCTCTAGCGGGTTCCGTGATTGCATGTTTTCGGCCAGTTGGTGCCATGAAACAGTTATCCGGTGACTTTGTTGCTCTTTTTGTGTGAGCGTGTTGCACAAGCTCCTTTGAACACAACCTAGGCAACCACGTGACCCGGACATCCTGCGCTTGTCAATGTTAATCAGCGCGGTAGAAGGACAGTGGTCAGTCCTTTCACCGCTTACCTGTAGAAGGCTAAGCTTCTGGAAACACTCTTACGCCAACACACCGCCGCAGGTTTGCTACGCAGTTGGTAAATATCGTGGCAAACCAATTTGAAGCCAATGCTTGCCTGCTTCAACCCTAGCCTTGTGCTTTGAGTTTGCACATGGTTCGGCCCGACCTTTTTCCGGTCTTCATATTTTTTTGAGACTCGACACCTATAGGTTTCTGGAGTCGCGAACACACGCCGGTGCCTATAGCTCCGTGTTCCATAAGGTCAATTGATCGTTTTTGTGTACTTTTACCGCTATCTTTCCTCCTCATTCTAAGTTACACCCTCCTTCCCCTCGACTAATGCTGAAATATTGCGAGACTGTGAAACATGCTCCCAATCGGTGAGTCAAAACTTCAGATATGCATGCAACACAAACAACAGCCAACAGCGACAATAGCGTCCCACCAATGCCGAGAACACCGATATTTGCCCGCCAACATATACTAACGATTTTTGGAGCCTCAACGAATCTTTCGAGGTGATGCTTGCTCACCAACGTAATATTTTGTGCCAGTCGGTGGACCCCAATTGCGAATGAGCTGGCGAACAAGGTTGAACTGCCGTGTCTGCAAGCACTGTTTGCTTTGTGTCGCTTTGGTAAGACGTAAAGAATTTGAATTTCGCTTTTCTCGACAAACATCTTAGCGGCAGCGACGATCTGTTGCACAGGAGGTATTAATTTTTTTGTCTGCCACGTCAAAAATTGATGAGGTGCAAAGATACTTCAAGTTTGACTTGTAATAAACCAAAAATGTCCCTGTCGTGTTATAGTTTTGCGAATAGAACACTGTCCCTGTTTGAGCGAGGTAGAGTCTATGACCACGCCCAAAGCCCAAGACTCAAGCAACGCGTGCATAGAAACTCATTGCCATAAAACAGGTGCAGGCATGTGCTACAGCATTGTAGCAGACGCTGTAGCGAAATCCAGTTCAATAATGAATGTTTCCTGTTCACCTTTACAGGTTGTTTTGGGATAATGGCAAAGATTTTAACGGAGAACGCCGCTCGTACGGTGCAAACTTTAATATAACAATTCACTCAATTCCTTTGCGTGGTGAAAACCATATAGGATATAACGCCCATCTCTTCTTTACCCAGTGATTAAGTTAGTCACACATTTAAAGTAAAAAAGGCATTGCTGAATTTTTTCTCTAACAAAACGTACTTCGTCAAGCCTGAATGTGTGGAGGCCTGTACTAACACTGGTTGCCCACAGATGTGGTAAAACATGGCGTTCGTGAAGAGAAAGTTTTATTATATCGTTCTGAAAGCTCCGATACCTCGATAACAATACGATGCGTAAGCAAAGGCGGCGTTGGAGTATTGGGTATCGTTATCGGAGACATCAGAACCGTCGGAAAGATATACTCAAACTCCTTTTATTTCGGCGCAAAATTAAAAAAAAAATAAAAATTGGTCGATGTCGCGTTTGCTCCAAATGTGTCGCGAAGTGTCCATTCATTACTTACCGTTGTGGTGCCGTTGACTACAATGGCCATTGAGGTCCTTGCCTACTCTAATCACAACCTGTTTTGGATGTTCAATTCAACCCAAAGAGTGCGGCAGTATTAACTGTTCAAACTGGGGCAGCACGGAAGCATGTGGTGGGCTATGGGTGCGTTAATCTTTTTAAAAATATGTTGAAATAAAGCACCACAGTTTATATTGTTTAAGTGTGACTGCCGGGTTTGTAGTACAGCATGCCAAAGGTAGTGCCTGCGACAGTTTACCCATTAAGTTGTCACTAAACCTAGCAGGCTCGTATTGCAGCTGATTGTACTCCTGTAGACAAATCCTAGTTATTTAGATCGTAAAGTTTTCAAAACTTCACATTTTCCTGCACGCACCAGTGCACTGCGAAAGAAAAGACGCACCACAATTTTATTGATGTTTTATGTTTAATTCAAAGAAAATATTCAAGTGGTGCCTTGACAGAAAGCAAAACTTGAATTTTAACGCGTTTAATTCATGAGTCTTTGTAACATAACAATAAGTTAAGCGCCAAATGCTTAATCCCTTTTGCTCAAGTCACTTATACTTTTCACAAGACTACGTGCCATCCTCCCTGAAGGACCAGCGTTGGCTGGCGTAGTCACAGAATTTAAGTCAACTTTTAAAACAGTAAAGTTCTCTTCGTTTTTTCATGCGGAACTGTATCCCATGTTTCAATGGAACCATAATGGGGAGTCGTAGTAGTTCGTTCCTATACCTCATATAACGATACGAGGCCGGCGCAGAGGCATTGATCGAGTATCGGGTATCGTTGTCGAAGTTATCAGAGCGATCTGCTTAAACTCCCTTTAGAAGTGGCCCGCTTCTTCAAGACTAGGTGACCCTCCACAAGGTAATTTGTGTTTCTCGGCGAAAACGTCGGCTCCTACCGCCTTGTAGGGGAGGCTTCTATCTCGTAACACTGAACCGCTTATTCTAAACGGTATGGGAAAAAATAAATCGCACGTCTGTCTGTGATAAAATGAATGGTCCATAGTCTCCCTCTAGATTAAATTATTTAACGCTGCGTTATTATACTTAAGAGAAGAAAAGTAAATGTTAGATTTAGAAAAAAAAAACAATGCACACTTACAACACATAACAAAACGTATTCAAGGGGGCGCGCGTGAAATTTGGGAGTTGTTTTGTTGTTCTTTCTGGAGAAGGAGAGATTATCTTCAATAAAATAACCCTTTCTTGTTCTCGAAGTTGTGTTTATTTTGAACTCGTTCGGTTACTTCTACTGGCATGAGTTTAAAAAAAAAACAATGATGTAGAATATGTTGAACCAGTCACAGTGAACCAGGCCGCTGCAGTAGAAATATCGATGCTTCAGGGTCCTGGAGTCACTCAAATTTTACATCACCACATGATCAAATTCGCAAGAAAATTATACTGGCTGTGGCGCACCCTTGGAATGCTCTGTCTTACAGATTAATGAGTGGAGTTACAGGTGGCTTGGCGGTCATTTTTTATAAGCTCTAGTGATGTCTTGAATGGTGCGCTGAATATATTACCATCTTAGTAAAATCTCAGACTTCCAGTGCGATTATCGAAATACCTATAAAGAACGAAAAACGTATTTGAATAAATGGATCGAAAATATTGTACATTACATTCATATAAATACTCCAATTGCAGTGGTTTTTGGTCAGCTACAATTGCAGTGGTTTGGGGTTTGGCCTTTTTTGACTCAATCCAGACCTTAGCGTAAGTTTAGCAATAAAGAAAGATGCTTATGAAAGAATTAGGTTCTACAAAATACTGCAAGAGAGCAAAACGTCATGATTATATTATACAGGGTTAAATAAATTTAACGTTTTGGTCTTCAACAGTTACTCAAGGACAAAAAAAACAACAACATGCGAATGATCCAAGTCCGCAGCCGGAGGTTTTAAATGATGGCCACACTCTACTACCTTGTTATTTTTATGTATCCTTCAGGGCACACCTTCTCCATAGTCACTAACACTGTGCTCACCAATTCATAAACAAACTGCGCACATGTCATTGCCGACCTCCCCCGATAAAGTAAAAAACGCTGTCTGCAAGACGTAGTAAGGAAGAAAAAGTACAAAATTGGGGTGTGAGTCTCTGGAGAACAGCTTAACACTTTGACCGCTAGTGCGATGCTTCGACCATCCACCGGACATTGTTTCAGCTATCACTCACGTCGGTTTGAGTGAGCCGGTGATGTCACTAGCACTGTGACTGGCGAGCACACAGGGCGGACGAGGTTACACGACTGCTGACTCGGCGAGTTGGTAGTTCATGTTGAATAGCATAACAGCGCACAACAGGAGAAACATTCACAAACACAGACACACTAAAAAATATACACTCACTCGGCGCTGACTCACAACTCATGGATTTGTATTGTCTTCTCTATGCACAAAGACCCACCTCCTCTTTTTCTATGTTCTAAGAACAAGATGACGACCTCAAATGCAAAATACAAAAAAAAAGTTAAGAAATGATTTTTAATAAAGTAAAGAATAATAAGGAATTCTCACTGCCGGTGCCTAAGAGAACTTTTGGTCACATACTTAAGCTCCCTTTGTGTGAGGACGAGGGTCTAGGAACATCGGGTGCGCAAATCAGTGTGCCTTCGTCGTCCAGACGCACTGCACTATCTCTGCACCCCGACGTGAATGAAAACTCGGCATAACAACAGCGCTCCCGCGACGAGATGCCGCGATGATTGCGACCTCTCACTGAGATTTCCCTGGCTGCCGTGCTGCATCGCTGCGGGTTTTTCCCCTGCACAAAAGAAATCAACACAATGTGACAGTTACTTTCATGTTTATTTATTATAAAGAAAAAAAAAAAACTCGTGGTTGAATACATTTTAAAGTTATACACGAGGAAACTGCGTGTTAGACGGATCAGTTTACCCTCAAAAGCTTTGTCCACTATGCTCGCGGAGGAACCGACGTTTCCCGTGCGGCAGTCATAGCCTCCTCGGGGTGATATGAAAACAAGAGTTGCTCCCCACTGTATTCTAATTTTTTGTATATTTTCTCTGTTAAATACACTAGTGGACACTTCACAGGTTATTCACGCGACTCACATTTGAACCAACTACAAAAACATTTTACAAATAAATATTAATGTTACCGAACCGCCAGATGCGGTTCTTACTCGACGGCACACAGCAGACACCATGAGTCCGCTAGACGCAAAATCAATCGGTCACAATATATGTGGGAAGCAGGGATGGGCAGAATTTCAAACGCAAGTATTTGAAATACGTATTTTAAATACTTTGTGTATTTTTAATTTGTATTTAATTACAAATTGGGTAATGTATTTGACGAGTGTATTTAAATACTAAAACGTGGGTATTTCAAATACAATGGTAATTAAGTACAATTTTGTGGGGGAAAATACATCCCTCAAATTTATTGTCACTGTCCAGAGAAGGAAGAAAACTACGTTCTGCACCGAATGCAGTGTCTCTCAATCAAGCACAAGCGTTTAGTGACTTTGTGATTACGGTGCTAGTCCAGGGCAAGAAATAGTGACGAAATCGACGTTCACTGGCAGACTGGCTAAATAAGTGCCTGTGACAACTTGTGATACTTTCCAGCCTGATTTCCCTCCATATTTTTGCCTGGAACATTCTAAATGCGCGGGTCGTCCAGATTTTTGTAACTGGTGCGAGTTGCAACCATAAAAAATGATCTAGCTAATGCTGCGCCTCTTGGTCGTCTCGGTTCTTTGATGATCTATACCAGGGGTGGCCAAGCGGCGGCTCACGAGCCGCATGCGGCTTTTTGCGTGTCAAAGTGCGGCTCGCCGCTCCCTCCCCTACCTACCCCCCCCCCCCCCCCCCCACACACACACACACACTTCGCCGCCTCCCTGCCCAAAAAGAGAAATGGAACGCGTGTTAAATCGAAAGACAGGTTGTGGTTCGCTAGTCTTGTGCTACTACTACCTTACGTAGATATTGAACTGCTTTTGACTCGGATGTATTGAAAGTAGTAAAAATTTCGTTTATTACTCTGGACAAAGGTTTGCCGCCCCCCCCCCCTCCTCCCCTTGCGGCTTTTGGATGTTTCGTGGTTTTGTCTGTGGCTCTTAGGCCAGGTCAGCCTGGCCACCCCTGGTCTATACCAAAATGTAATCCACAAAAACAAAAAGTGCTTGAAGCTTTGTACTTTTTTCACCTATTAGGTCAAAGCTGATTACATTTTTGTGATTATATTTCTATTACGTTACTAGAGCCTCGAACACTAACTCCCAAGTGTGCGATGCGAAATTAAAATGAGATGCCCAGAAACCCGTTGCAGGTGCCCTGAAGTCGCTGACGCAAATTTTGAGGAATGTATTTGGAAAAGTATTTGGAGGAGACCAAATACATTTATTGTATTTGTATCTTGTTCTTAAATGTTTTTTGGAAATGTAATTAGATTTGTAATTAAATACATTTTTGACGAAGTATTTTGTATTTGAATTTCGATACCTATTTGCATGTATTTTGCCCATCCCTGGTGGGAAGAAAATGTCCACCCAAATGGAATTTAAACTTGTGTGTGGGTGATAAGCCTTGACAGTTTCTCTGGCTTATCATACGAGATGCCGGCTAAGATAAACGCGTGATTACGTAGGTATGACTAGAACACAATAAAAGAATGACGTAATAAAGCAAGCAAAAATATTAGTGCCTCTCGGTCTATAAGGTCGGACTTAACTGAGGTCGACTGCGTGTTCCCAAAAATTTGATGGGTTCTCTTTTCGCTTCCACTGTACATTCTTCTTCTTACCATGCGCCCAACACCTCGTCGCAAGGAAAAACTCTGTTTAGCATTAATATTGACTGAATATTCCGACATTCAAACACCAAAAATAAATAAAGAGCGTTGGCACTTTGTCTATTACTTAGCAATTAAAGAACAAAGAAAAGATGTCATCAACAATACAAGTGCGAAACATTGAAGGTACATTTCACAAAGATCATTGCCCACTCAGTGAGCTGGTCTTTGAACTATTTTGCCTGGGACTTCTGTCCGACTGGGGATCTCAGCCTCACAATATGTGTTGTTGCTTCGAAGTGGAAGATAAAAAGGTCAAGGAAGCCGTCGTATAATTCCAGGACACACACACACACACAAAGAGAGAGACACACACACACACAAGCACGGACGCACGCACACACACACACACAGACACGCACGCATGCACGCGCGCACACACACAGACACGCACACGCGCACATACACACACACGCACACGCACACACAAACACAAACACACACACGCACACATGCGTGCTCGCGACCCTAGCAGTTCTTTAGAGAGGCGCCGATAACTTAGACGAGAGGACTCAGTCGTCGCTGTTCACGGGGCCACCCAGCCTGTGGCGACTGAAGTTTATGTCGATTGCAGAGTGTAGCAAATAGCAGGACAGGGGACTGAGGTGTACATCGTCACCGCTGCACCACAGCCAGAGTCGCGACGAGTTGCGGAACACACAGTAGTGATTTCACCAACTAGAAACGAAGGGGGCGAAATGTAGGCGCGTCTCCAACACGAGCTGAAGCTAACACAGATGCTATGATCTGACTAGTCTTGGCCGCTGTCCTTATACTAGTATACAAAAAATGCTCAAAACATTCAATCGTAAAACAAAATGTACGAGTAAATGAACGGATTGAGTGCAAATGAACATTTCACAAATGTGTCTTTAAGTGATGAATTGACCTTACTCGAGTTTTGTTAGTGCAGGTTTTTGGCAAATAGTTGCGCCTAAAACTTCTGATTTCTCCTATGCACAAGGAAGGAAACGGTAAAACATTTCAGGTTGACGCTGCCACTCACACATCGCACAACATGAGAGACGATTTGGTACTGTTGTCCTTTCTTTCGACCTGAAAGTTTCTTCCTTTGTCTATGTCACAGTCATTATAGTAAAACAAAGAAGTGAAAGCTTCTTTTAAGTTGAAAGAAGATTTAGCTGATCCGAGCGTGTGTGTTACCATAATAATCCTTACCGTTTTCACACCTGCGCATAGGAAATAAATAACGGAATTTTTCAGGCTTAAATATTTTATCTGAAATCCACATTCACAAACATTTTGTATAATAAGTGCACCACCTGAGTATTTCTTAGGTCATTGTTGATTGATTTATCTATACGGCTCTTTTTAAGCCGAAATAGTGCTCAAAGGCACCCTATAGCTTTGATGGTTTACGCTATATGGGTCCCATATACCGTACCGCTGAGCACGTGCACGGTGATGTTGGCCGGGTCCGCGTACGACGGGATGCACGAGTAGTTGCCAGAGTCCTCCGTGGCGGCGTCCGGCACCTGGAGTCTGGACAGAGTGGTCGACTGCCCCCTCTCCGTCGCCATCCGGATGCCAGCTCTCCTCGCCGAGTCGTAGTTGATCATGCGGTCGTCGTGGTACCAGAACACGTAGACCGGGGGCGCCCGGCTGTCCGTCACCACGCACGTCAGGTTGATGGTGTTGCCGCTCTGGATGTAGAGGTTCGAGCCCTCCCGGATGCGAGCCTTGGCCACTGGTAAGTTTGGATACGGGGCGGGAAGAATAGAAAAGAAGCAATTAGCGGACGCATCTGACTGTAGGGCTATGATTCGTATTTTTCGTTTATATGCCTAATCAGTGATAGGTTACAACCAGAGTAGAGGATCCGCCTCCGGCACGCGCTCTTTTAGTTCCACCGGGATCTGGCTGCGTGTGGCACGGAGCGTGATCAAAGGCAGAAGGCCCGTGCTCGAGGCTAAGCATCCACTGGGTTAATTATGCCTCACTAGCTATAGACCACTTTTCTGCTTAAAAACAAAAGCCTTCTCTTGGGCTTCCAAGAGACTTCCAGTCGCTCTGTTTCGGCAGACCTTTCAAGCTGTCAATGTAAAAATATTTGGAACGACAAAGGTTTTCTGAATGTAAAAATATTTGGAACGACAAAGGTTTTCACAAAACGCCAATTTGGGCATTTATCGAGGCTCTAATGCTGTGCTGTTGAAAAAAGAGGCAATCTGTCGTCTTACAGCAAAAATAAAAAAAAAATTCTAACATACATCTGGCTGACCTGTTGTTTAACTAACCACTTGAAGAACTGGTCATAACATATTTTATGAACGTTACAAGAAGCGGTGCTATGGTGGATATCGTTGCGTCCTCTCATTTGACCTGATGTTCGCGGGGACACAAATCGGCAACAGCGCCTCCCTTTCGATCCTTTTAAACGCGCTCAACCTATAAACAACGTTAAGCCATTGTAGACTCAATTCGGTAGCATCAATAGGGGACATGAGTTAAGCCAGCTTTCACTACGTTTGACGTCTAAGTAAGGTGGATGATTTTTGCGGACTTAAGTAAATACAGTATCCAGCTTCATGTTTTGGTGATTAAATTAACCTAAGGTTTCGTGTAAGAGCTTCAAAATGTCACGAGAGGTGGGGTCGTTTATCCCTGAATCTGACGGAAATCCACAGCTGCTGATGGCCTCAGCACAAATATGTGAAGACGGGTTTTACAATGCTGCGTTCTAGTCGACAAACGTGCAGGCGACAGCTCCATGAGGTCCCTCTACGAAAGCAGTAATCCAGATGAAATGTAATACCGAGATTGCAAAGGTTTACGTCGCTAACTATGCCAAGACGTCAGTAGATTTAATTATTTCGGATGATAAGAAGCGCGCGGAAAAAATACTGCTTAACCACAGGCCGGATGAGAGGAGCGAAAGGAGAGGCCCTGATCTTGCTAGTCGGAGCAGATTGAGCCAAACATACTGAAATATACGTTCTCCGCAATAAAATGTATACAAAAGAAATAAATTAAATTTAAGTTGTGCTGCTAACACACTATTCGCGTTCACTAAAACGAGGGGAAAAGGGGGGGGGGTTGTTGTTAGAACTGCATAAACGATCACATGGTGTGGAGAAACCAGTGTGCTTTCAACAATGAACGCCATAAATTTGATGCTAGCAAAAGCTTTACCTTTCGACACTTCCAATGGGCTCTGGAAGAAGGCGCAAATGCGGGGCAGCATAAGCTAGACAAACTAAATATATGAAACCAAAATATAGATCAAAGAAAAAAAGTCATCAAGAGCAAAAAGTGAGGTGCGTGCATAAATCTCATCCCCGTGTGTCTTCTTTTTTTTGTGTGTGTGCGTGTGTGTGCTAATTTTTGTCTTCGTGTGTTTCGCGCCACTTGAGAGCGCTCTGACGGGAAACGCCTTAAATCAGTTTTAACGAGGCTTCCCTTTCAGTTTTTTTAATGCCTGGATAACACCGAAAAGAGCGGAGAGCGGCTAGGTGTCGAAGGAAGTGCGGCACCTAGTTTCCCCCATCTCGGAATCCGGTTGGTGCAGCGGTTGGCCTACTGAGTTGATCGGGTGAAGCGGACATTCGGAACCATATCGGTTTTGATATTTTTAGAACCTCGATTAGAAGTTCACGCGCGGAGTGAGTGCACGGCTCTAGGAAATTATATAGGCGGTAATCTATGTCGGATGTTATCCGACCTTTTTTTTTATTATTAATATAATGCAGAACTTTCGTTTAGCGGCTTCAAGATGGGGTTAATAACACTATTTTCTCATGTCTCAAACTACCCAAAACTGATGTGTTAAAAAGAATTTAGTTTTAGCCGAAGGAAGGTAGCAAGGGAAGGGAAACGTTTTAATTATTTGACCTTGTCTCTTATCGCTTCATTTTGTTTTGGTTTGGTAGTGTGATGTTTAGTCTCCTGAACAAAATCGATCGGGAATAGTATGAGGTCTGGATACTTTAATAAATATAAAAAAGGAGCACGCATCGATAAAATCTAAAATGAACATTGTTAACTTGCAAGCAAAAAAAAAGAAATAATAATAACTCAAGCACTAGTGGGGAAAAGAAATGAGCAGACACGCAAAATAATCTTAAGGAACTGTCTAGTTTCCTAGCGCACTCAAAATATTTTGAGATGGCATAAGAGCTGGCGTGTCTTATTGGTTGTAAAATTATATCTAATATTAGGTGAAATTTTATTTGCGGTTTTCAGTTAGTTTTATTTGTATAAGTTTCTTTTCTTTTTATGGGATGAGGACGTCAGCGTAAATTAACGTGCTCAGCAATTTACTGTAGCCGCTCACAGTAATAAAACAAGAAGGGTGCCTTTCAATTGTTATATTACAACGTGAACAACCGACAACGAACGTTTATCCATACGTCTAGAAGATTTATCTTTATTCTTTCCCGAAGTGTGAAAGATACGGAGTCCAGAACGAACTTACCTAGTAAGTCTCGCCTTAGTCCACTCCCGAAATTTCTATGTAGCCTGTTCGAGATATCGAGTGCAGCAGATAAGGAGCCGAGCGCAGTCTTGCCGACTCATTCACTCTCGTGCTATCCAGCTTTCACGCCGACGCATCGTCGCTCACTGCTGCCAGCGTCGACGTTCGCTGCTGCTTTCTCGATGCTCGTCCTTTCCTTTGTTTCTGGCACAATTTCACCATGAAACCAGTTTACGCTCGTCGAGCCTTATCTATCCGCTACAATATGCCTCCAGCACGAGCACTTCTACCTTCGGTAACACTTTGTCTTTTCGCAATCCTCGAGCGTGCACGCATAGCCGAAGTACGACCAAAGGCTGCGAGCACGTCTTGGATGCCGTGAATGACCGAGGCCATGGGGACATCAAGGGGCGGAGACTCACCGACGAGGGCGAGCGAGACGTTGAGGCTCATCTTGGGCTCGGTGGAAATCTGGCACTCATAGACGCCGGCGTCCCCCTTCTGGGTGTAGCGCACCTCCAGGGTCCAGTCGTCAGAGCCCTCCAGGTGGATCGAGTGAAACCGTTGGTCCGACGTGTACGCGTACGTCCCCACCGTCAAGATGTGCAGGTCGCGCTGGCGCACCCACGAGACCTGCAAACAGGGGGCGAAAAGGATGGAAGCTGAAGTTGCACGGATAGCGCCTTTTTTATAGAACACAGAGGAAATACGGAGGACAAAATGAAGGTATAAACGCAGTTCTGTGTCCACTAACGCCTTTTATAACACGTTTTCTTCAGTTACGATTGATGAATGTAAACTACTACAAGAAAACATCGTCTTCATTGTAGCCCGGGCGGTCTGTGACCTCTTTTGTTTTTAGAACGTTTAGAGTAAGGCCGTTGTCTAGTGTCTTCCGACTGTCGTCACTTTAGATACAGTCCGTGAGTGGATATTTTTATGCATTGATGCCTATATATTTTTTATTTATTAGTTTGTATAAAAATAAGATAAGAGGGATTACTTCATTCGCAGTAACGTTTATCTTCAAAATGCTATACTGCATAAAATGCTGTGAAGCACAATGGGAGCAACATCATCTAGAGTTTTCGACGAGGTGAAATGGGCGGAGAGGGGAAAAAAGAGGGAAAGGAACAAGAGGTGTGGGGAGAGAAAATATGGTCTGTCACGTGACGTATATTATCTTTTTAACTTTAGAGGGGAGACTGAATAGTTGTATAGGTCACATGGCGTCGATTTCCCGCGCTAAATGTAGCGGGAAAATTGGAAACCGGGAAAGATATCGCGCAAGCGGCCCGGGAGGAAAGATTGGTTCTTCGAAGGCAACAGCATGCGGACCGTAGACGGCGATCAATGGAAGCTGGGGTGGCTGCATTTGGTACCGCCGACGCCCGGGAGAGCAAACTGGCTCTCAGAAGACAACGAAACACTCCACTATATGGTAATGCATATTGTCCGAAATGAACGTAGATAAAGCAGCATTTTTCTTATACCGTAGTAACATAGTCGTTACATTTATTCAAGGCAATAACAAATAACATATACTTGCTTTACTCATTTCGAGTAACGTATAACGTAGTTGCCTTGTTTTTTACCTCCTCTTCCCAGAACTTAAAAATATTACACTTCCATTTTTTTTTATATTCTTGGCACCAGGTCGTATAAACCCTCGCTTTTTTGTGTTTTAGTATTGTTTCTCGCCAGGATCTAGATGGAACAGAACAAAATATAAGGAACTTAAGTTACGTTTCTGCACGGGCATTATGCTTCTTAAAATATGGCGTTAATGCGTACCTCTAACATAAAAAAAGTTAAACGCTCTAATTTATGATTACAATGTAACGCAAAAGTAACACGCGTTAATGTTTATCGGTGAACGTAACGCGTTCCTCTTAATTTTAACGCAAAGTAAGTCGGTAACGCGTTCCCTTAATTTTCCAAGAAACAAGCAACGTATTTCGTTACCTATTTTTCTTTAACGCCATAACACTGCACCCTGTGATTGAATGGCTCCATACATTTCATTTCGCAGATTGCATCTCTGTATCAAGAAGTAACCGCTTTGTACATCCTTAAAGTCGCCCTCGCACTGCTCATACACCATACGAAAGACACGGCGTTCGATGCAGACATGATGACACAACTCTTTGCGGGCAAACCCATCTTCGAAGCACGTTAGCTCCATACATTAGCAAGCCTCAGCCAGTGTCTGCAGACAGTCGTACACATAATGCATTATTATCAGTCTGAACGCGGCTTTAAGTTGAGGCGTTTTGACAACACACGTTTCTTACGCCATGTCAAACCGGTGACGCCAGCTGTGGAAAGGCGCACGTGCAGTTGGCTCGCTCTCTAAGAAACATTCCTTAAAGAGCGAGCCAACTGCTTTCTTAAAGAGATCCATCTGCAATTTTCGAATTGACTAAATTTACTACGTCTAAGTCCCGATACAGCATATTTTTTTTTTTTTTTTTTAAACGCGACATGCACAATTGAAAAAGCCATACAGCACAAGTGATCGTCCGGTCTGTTCCCCCTGAAAGATCTTGTTGGGGTTTTTGTCTCTGAACATCTTAATGCCAATAGCATTCTTCACAATAGCGTGAAGGCCCTGTCTCAATGAGGAAACGCAGTGGCGACCTCAACAAAATATATGTCTATCAATAATTGGTCAACATTGTTCTCGGTTGCCCTGTTGCCCGACAAACTGCCACACCGCTGAATCATCGGCACAATAAAGGAAACAGCAGCAATGTTGCCTCGGCATGGCAGCTTTCGGAAGCAGCTGCAGATTGTGTCGGAAGACGAGTGTTGCCCAGATTAATGGAGGAGCGAATTTCATGCCTTCAACACAACAGATACAGCTTCGATTGCAGAGTTTTTTTGTAAATAACGTGACTTATTAAGAGCTTACTCAAATAAAGGCCTGAAAAACGCTATGTAATGACAATTAAGGTTGGCATGCAGCTAAAATATTTTGATCAATGTATTTACTAATATCTAGGGAGAGGGTTTGTTAACGCAAAAGTTCGAACTCTTCGAACTTTCGCGTTAACAAACCCTCTCCCTAGATATTTTATAAAACTAACCCACCACGCCATATGGGCTCCCGTCCTGAAGAAGGCAGTGCCACTGCCGAAACTTCGACGGACGTCAGGCCCCTTTCTTATTTTTATTAATTTTTTTATTTTTAATTCTTTATTGTATTTTTCATTTAACAATTTATTTTTGTAAGTTCTTGTGTTTTAACTTTGAATTTTACTCCGTCCTGTTTAAAAGTTTCTTTCCCGTGTAACTAGCGTTCTTGTGCGTAGTCTTCATTATTCCCGTAAACTAATGCAACTTTTTTTCGGCACTTCACCCTTTTTTGTTGCGTGATTTTTTTCGCCATTAAATTAGAATTTTATTTTTATCATCCTACGGCTGCTGTGTCTGCGCACATTACTTTTGCCCATATATCAACGGAAGCATTTGTCAACATTCGTCACTCTTTATATATATTGTTGGATAGAAGACGACGAGGGGCCGAGAGAGGATTGTCAAGCACGTGCACTTGGCTCGGTTCAGTGGCTACTAAGAGCATTGCTCAGTGTGTGGCAGCGAATCATCTACGCCATTAAATCACTCTTTATCACCCTCACAGGTGGTGGAGGTGCTTTAAGTTCCTCGACCTCTCCGCTCCATAACCCGATTCTGGAGTTGCGAAATAGACGCCTTCTTCCGGCCATGTCCCAAGAGAGAGGCAATTCCAACGGCCAACCATCTGCCGGTGGTTCCAACGGGCAACTATCTGCTGGTTCAACACCGTCAGCACCGCGCATCAAGAACCGACAAAGGGACTCTCCTCTTTTCAGTGGCTCACCCGACATGGACGTAACTGATTGGCTCAAGAGTTACGAAAGGGCAAGTCATCACAATCACTGGGATGACAGCTTCAAACTGGCCAATGCAGTGTTTTATTTGACGGGCACTGCATTGCAGTGGTTCGACAATCATGAAGATCAAATGAACTCGTGGGACGCTTTCACAGCCGCCTTCTCAGACGCATTTGGAAAACCTGAACACCGCAAGCAGCAGGCGAAAGATAAACTCGCTCACCGATTTCAGTCCACTGCAGAGTCTTCCACCTGCTACATCGAGGACGTTCTCCGTCTCTGCGGCAGAGTCGATCCTCAAATGACAGAGGAAGATCGCATCCGGCACTTGTTCAAGGGGCTCTCACAAGACCTCTTCGCCATCGTCGCTCCCAAATCGCCTACGACGGTTCAACAGCTCATCACCGAGTGCAAGACATATGAGGAACTACAGAGCGCTCGCATCTCAAAGCCTCCTTTTGATCGCCTACCAGAGGTCTCTATTGCCTCTGTTTCTAATCTTGATCTACCGACGCTGATTCGCAATATTATTCGCGAAGAATTGCGATCATTTTTAGATCAGTTCCGTGCGTCTGCCGACACTCCCCAACCTCGTCCCCAAGCGCACAGCGTGCAGAAAGTTGTGCAGGACGAGCTCCGGGCTGCGTTGGGTTCATTTACACCAGCGACCCCGACATGCACCGCTGCGCCGCCCGCACCTGCACTGGTATGCTCAATGCCACACGACCCGCAACCCTTCTACCTACCGCATCAATCCCCACTCACGTCGAGACCACACATCCCTCGCCGAAAGTGCGACATTTGGAGGACTGAAGACCACAGACCCATTTGTTTTATACTGTCGCACACCCGGTCATGTCGCCCGATATTGCCGCCGACAATCGAATGCCAACGAGTATAGGCGCTACCCTGAACCTCGCCCACGCTATTTTACTGATGACGACGCTCGCCCTTTTGACAACCAGCCTCAAAGTCAAGCCCCCTTCTCACATCGCGACAGCCGCCGAAGCCGATCTCCGTCTCCCTACCCTCGACGACCGCGTTCGGTGTCGCCCCTCAACGTCGCCGCTCCAACTCACCAGACGTCAAACTGAAGCCAGCAGCCTGCGTCGCCCCAGGAGGTCAGGCTGCAGTAACAAATTACTATATAAATCCTCCGACTGATGGCCCCACTACTGTTGCTGTTGAAATTAACGGACAAAACCTCATTGCCCTCGTCGACACTGGTGCCGCCAAATCATGCATTTCTGAGAGTTTTCGCCGACGTTTGCGGAAAGTTATGACGCCAGCACCTGGACGCTATTTACGAATGGGGAATGGAGACTTGGTTCAACCTCTCGGATGTTCAACCTTCTCCGTGATCATTGGTGCAAATCGGTACATTGTCATCTTTACAGTTCTCTCCAGCTGCGTTGCCGACGTAATACTAGGCTGGGACTTCTTGGCATCAACGGATGCCGTAATCGACTGCGGCGAGCGCCAGCTCCATTTGAACTGTTCAGATATCGAAGATAATCCTGACTTGCATCCCGTTCTCCTCCGAACTACAACTGATATAAACCTGCCTCCATTGACTGCTTGTGCCGTAACACTCACGTCCAATATGCATTTCCAAGACACTTACGGACTTGTTGAGCCGCTGCCTAACAGCTTCACGCAGAAGGGCTTGCTTGTACCCTACTCCACCGTAATCGTCATTGGAAACCGTGTTAATTTGTACCTCACAAACGCCTCACCCATTCCAATTATTTTACCTAG